CGAGTCTTTATCATCGCAGTGAGCATTACCAGCAGAGGCACGAATGCATTCGATTTTTTACGGAGGTTTACGGATACAATCCTCTCCTTTTCACGCAGCTTCGAGCGGATTCGGTGCTTTTCAAAACACGTCTTCCTGCAAACCACCAGAAATGTTTCAAATACGTTTAGCTGATGTTATCATTTCCTATGTGTTCATTACTTTTGAAACTGCACGGCGCACCCAACCTCGGACAAAATTGGGCACGCCTCCTTTTTGATGTCATTCCTTCGTAATACTCTAGTTAGGCTTCCACACTGGTTTTACTCAAATGTAACATTTTTTCGTCTTCTCTAGGTTTGATATTTATTTGGCACAATTCTTCATATTTCTGAGGCACCTCAGCACTTTTTTCCTATGCTGATACACTTCTGCCAAAATATTTGCACTTCGTCAGGGAAATATTATGCGCTTTAACGAAATTTCACCGACTGGTTTTTTCCCATTCAAATGATGCTGCGTAAGGGAATAGACAACGGTTTGTTTGCTCGTCCCTCTTGTCCCTTTCAACTCTTCCTCACATTCGTCTTCCGATTCTTGCGCTCTCTTTAGTCGTTAGAATATGCTACTATTATAACCAGCTGGCTCGTATTGACGATACCGATAAGATGGAAATACATTCAGAAACTATTGGCAGTTCTGGTAAGTTTACTGCTTTCTTCGCTTTTCAGTTAATTTACATACTTCCAATGGATTTAATTTAAATGTTTGAGTGCAAGCCTCGCTCAGTGCGCTGTTTGTCTCATTCTGATATTTCTCGTATGTACGGGTGCAAAAAGCGGGTGTCGTGACTTATAACCTGTGCCTGGTGTGCATTGAACCTCATAAGCTAATATCTTTAACAATATTGTAATAGTACACATGGAGAAAAGGAGGGATAATGTAATAAGTAATAATGTACAAAGAATTAGAAAAAAAAAAGTTAAAAGGAGGGATATGCGCTGAAGATCGGGAGCTCTACAAAGCAGGGGCGCACCGCTATGGTTGAAGGGCGGAAGATTATCATAAGAAAATAGCAATAAAAATATTGAACAAAATCGTGGCCAGATCAACCAGATCAGATTAAAATTTATCCAAATCAGACTAAAATTTATCAAAATTTTATCAAAAGAGATCAAAATTTTTTCTTTACATTCTTCTGAAGCAAATCATGGCTATTAAGATTATCCGAAATATTGATGGGGTGTTTAGTAGTTTCGCACTATCGTCTTATACGATCGCTAGTTCCGAAAAATGTGTTCTGTTTTCTCATAATAAAGACCCGAAATTGTTTGCCTGTTGCTGCTGTTAAAATTGCCCTTTCCAAATCAAACGTGCAATCGATATTTCATAAAACGGATGTGAATTTGGGGGAATTGGGTGCTTATTCGTTGTGTGTTTCTGCGCATTGTGTGCTTATGCACGGAGTGCTGGGAATTGTATGTTACGTAAGAAAAAGAGGAAGGTGGTCGACAGCCGGCGGCTTTGGATTTCGGCTGCCGCCTTTTCTAAGCCCCGACTTCTGCGACATCTGGTGCATCGGCCAGGAACACGCGACATCTGGAGCATCGGTCGGAAACACTAAGCAGATTGCAGCATCCAGGTTGACCCTGGAAGTACAGATGGCAAGGTGTAAAGGAGTTAGGAGAAAGTAGTAGTGTAGATTAAGGAAGGTGAGAACGAGATAAGACGTTTCGGTCCACTGAGTCATATACGTCTTAACATTGCGACTGAACCTCGCCAATATGACGGTCGCAGTGCATAAGAAGAAAGAGGAAAA